AAACAAAAGAAGGAAGGTATGTAGAAGAGGATAAAGGTCTAACTGACTGCCTCAATGAATATTTTTGTTCTGTATTTACAGATGAAAATGAAGGAAAGGGACCTCAGTTAGGAAAAAGGACATTTAAATACATAAAGGGAATCAACAAAGTAAAGGAGGAGACTATATTCAAAAGAAGAAAAACTACCACAACAAGAGGACATAGTCTTAAATTAGAGGGGCAAAGGTTTAAATATAATATCAGGAAGTATTCCTTTACTAAGAGGGTAGCGGATGCATGGAATAGCCTTCCAGCTAAGGTGGTAAAGGTTTTCCTTACAACCATAACGCAGATTCTGAAAAAAGTCCAACCTTGACCCAAACTACCGCCTTATATCGCTACTGCCATTTGCCTCCAAGATCCTTGAGAGAGTTGTGTATGCGAAATTGACAGACTTCCTTAAATCCAACTCTCTGCTTGACCTCGTCACTCTGTTGAAACAGCTGTGACCAAAGTATCCAACAATTTAATCGTTGCTAAATCTTGCAGCCATTACTCTATCCCAATTCTCCTTGATCTTTCTACTGCCTTTGACACTGTTGATCATCAACAGATTCTTCTCATTCTCCTTAATCTCGGTCTACTGCTTTCTCCTGGTGCTCCTCCTACCTCTCCCAGCGCATCTTTCTCTGGCTCTGCCTCTTCTCCCCAACCCCTCTATGTTGGCGTTCACAAGGTTCTGTTCTTGGACCCCTACTGTTCTCTATCTATACTGCCTCCCTTGGTAAACTCATCAGCTCCTTTGGCTTCCATCATCATTTATATGCAGATGATACACAAATCTACCAGTCCTCTCCTAATCTCTCTACGCCCATCTTGACTCGTGTCTCTGACTGCCTCTACACAATTTCCAACTGGATGGCTGCTCACTGCCTTAAACTCAACCTGTCCAAAACAAAACTACTGGTCTTTCCTCCCTCAAGTGTTGCTACACCCGTGTCTGTCTTCTCCAAGTCAACGGCACCACCTCTACCTCGCAGGATCGCTGCCGAAGTGTGCTCTTTGACTCTGACCTCTCCTTCACCCCTTATGTCCAGTCAATCGCCAAATCCTGCCTCTTTCATCTCATAAATATAGCTTGCATCCGCCCTTATTTAACACCAGATGTGGTTAAGGTGCTGGTCCATGCCGTTGTTGGTTCTCGCCTTGATTACTGCAATCCCCTACTGTCCGTCCCTACATTGGCTTCCACTTCGATATAGGGCTCAATTTAAGATTCTGGTGCTTGCTTAACAAGTCCCTACGTAATGCTTCTTCAACTTACCTAATACACAAATATGTCCCGTCGAGGCCTCTGCACACTTCCAAAGACCAACGCCTATCCTCTGTCCATACTCCCACTTCTGATGCTTGCCTCCAAGTCTTCTCGAGGGCTGCACCTTTTCTGTGGAACTGCCTTCCCTTCTCCGTTAGGCTTTCACCCTCTTTTCACCCACTCCTTCAAATAAATCTTTGAAAACACCACTTCTTCAGGAAAGCATATCATCTAAATTGTTAGTGGGTTTTCATCCTCCCCACCCCATGACTCCTCTCCTGCAACTGTCAAAAATAACCTACTATGTTCTCAGTGATTACTTTTCTAGCAACCTATTTCATTACCCCTACTTTGTGTCCCTATACCCCACTCCCTCTAGCATGTAAGCTCATTGAGCAGGGCCCTCAACCCCTCTGTTCCTGTGCGTCCATTTGTCTGGTTACAATTACGTGTGTTAGTCCACCCATTGTACAGGCTATGGAATTTTCTGGCGCTGTATAAATAATAATAATGATAATAATGAGTTTAAGCATGCGTGGGATAGGCATAAGGCTATCCTAGCTATATGATAAGGCCAGGGACTAATGAAAGTATGTAGAAAATTGGGAAGACTAGATGGGCTGAATGGTTCTTATCCGCCGTCACATTCTATGTTTAACACTGACCTTTGGTAAAACATAAATTACGAAATTCACAACCATGTATCAGAACATATTCAAAGAGCACACTGGCCGCAGTCTGTTCTTTTAAATATCTAGGTATGTTGCTAGACCTCAATCTAGCAACATGGCCTTTACATTGAAAAACTCTCTTCAAAACTTTATCCAAACTAGGTGCCTTGTACATACACAAGTCCTGCCTGAGCCCCACCATAAGGAAACAGATGTCGGTCACTAAATATGATGATGTAGTGTATGCACCTGCGCCGCAAACCCACCTTAATAAACTTATTACATTGTACAACTAATTCTGCCGCTTTGTGCTACTTTGTAATTACATGGCTAACCATTGTTAAAAGACCTAAACTGGCTGTCGCTGGAATCCTGATGCTCTCGTCATCGTTCCAGCACTGTGTTTAAGAGCTTTTCTGGGAAGCTCCCACTCTACCTGAGTAGAATGCTCTCCTCAACTGTTCCCACCTCCTATAAGCTCCGATCCAATACCAGCACTGTATTTAGCATACCACAACCTGATGATGCAAAAAGAACCCCTAAGAGGCATCTTTATGTTGCTGCACATTATGTCTGACCTGATTTAACTAGTACACAGCAATTCAGAGATGCAGCTATTACGGCTCGACTTGTTTAATTTTTATGTATTTGGAGTCCGGGCAGTGTGGACACTTACACCATACTGTAGTGTGAGGGACGGATTAGTTCATTGCTGTAGTTAGTTTGATAGTTAGGTGCCCTCAAAGGCACTCTAGGGATTACGTAGGAGTTACATCATGGGTAGCTTTTCATCTTTGTTATATGATACCACCACCGATACTAGCAATACTGTGGGTACGTGTGATTCTTTCTGGGGGTTGTTATCCCCTTATTTCCTTTCTCCTGTCTGTTGTCAGGATTTGACTGCTACATAGGTTCCCTTGAAGCCACTACTATGTCCTATTTATCAGCACAGGCTGAAGGCTTACCTATACACAGTCACTGTGTCTGATACATTACCATATGTTTAGCAGTATTATACTTTTCCTTCGTCTAACATTAGTTACAATTTATTGTAACTCTTTGTTGTTATACACTTGGATTTCCTCTTTACTGTTGGTGCCCAATTATTCTACTGTACAGCATTATAGATACATTTGCTCTTGCCAAGTACTATGTTGCAGCTACTTGGCAGTCATTTATCGATTTTAACAGCACAATAATCAGTGCTTGTATTTAATGTTTTTTTTTTCCCCCTTTACATTTTTGTATAGTGATTACTTTTTTCCAATAAAGTTTTTTTATTTCATATATGGTCAAGTTACCCTGAATGGTTATGGGTTATATCTATCAGTAATAGGTAGATCATCTATTTCGGTCTAAAATACATTAAGTGACTAGTTCCCTATTTTGATGCACCTTATTGTTAAAAAGTATGTTTATTACATATACACAAAACCTGATGATCTCAGCCAATCCAATGCTTTCCCATAGGAAAGAATTGGGAGGCTTCGCGCATGCGCTGCACCAATCAACATTTCCTCATAGAGATGCATTGAGTCAATGCATTTCTATGAGCAGCATTCAGTGTCTCTATGCAGAGCGAGGAGACGCTGAACGTTAGTGCTGCATTAATCCAGGAAGCACATCTAGAGGTCGTCTGAGTGACTGCCACTAGAAGTGTTCCTAGGCATTAATGTAAACACAATCTTTTCTATGAAAATTAGTTTACATTAAACTGCAGGGAAATACTATACTCACTCATAAAGCTGTAGTTGTTCTAGTGACTATAGTGTCCCTTTAAATTTATAAACGCCACACCATGCTGTATTAACCCCACACCATGCTGTAGTAACCCTTTACCCCACTGCATTCAAATCCTGCACTCACACAATTAACCCCACATTGTGCTGTATAATTAACTCCATATATGGTGCATTAAAGTGGCACTGCCACAAATTATATAATAATTGGATGTCTTATTTGTTTCTTAGTATTACAGGCAACTGAGCGAATAATTAAATGGTGTCTAAATTAGACCTGGAGCTTTTCAGGACCCCACTGGGGGCTGCAGTGCACAAAAGTTTTCTCCTCCGGCAATGCCCCTGTGCAGACTGGAGGTGGGAGTTACAGAAGAGTAACTCAGATAAGACCCACAAAGCTGAGGACATAGTGCTGGATTGGAGATAAGAGGAGTATATATCTCGAAAGCGTATGCATCATGTATATTAAATGCATTTAGGGGCAATTTATCTTACACTAAACTTAGCATGACAAGTTCACTTTATAATAAATAATTGTTTAAAAGAAAAAAAAAAAAAGAGAACTGAAAGTTTGATGACCACTGTACTTCAAAGACCGGTTACCCTTTGTTCCAGTCACTACAGCCAAAAAACAAACAAACAATCTAAAATTATGCAATTGTGTTGCAACACCGATTCCGATCACTCTATCTAGGACAAGATACAAGAGGGATTTATTTATTCCACAATTTCACTCAGAACTCTATGTCAATAAAACTGTGCTTTGTATTTGTAGTCACACATCTATCTATATATATATATATATATATACACACACACACACACACACACACACACACACACACACACACAAAAAAAAAGAAAAAAGCAGGTCAGGGAAGTCACTAATAATTACCAGTAGCACCATCTCTTCACAGACAAGTTCCCCAAAACACAAATCCCACTGGACCTTAAGCACTGCCATGTAAAATGTACCCCAATGAAACTGAACTAAAAGGGCTTCTCTAATAAACTAAAATACATATATTATATGTGATGTGTAAAAAAAATAAATAAGCAGATAATAAAAATCAGCATAAATGGCTACAGACTATTGTACATTCTACATTACAGGCTTTTGGTGTGATTCAGGTTAAAGTGTTATTATTAAATTAAAGCATACTGTGGCATTACCTGACTATGTAAATATACATCATTTCTGAAGATAGTAATAAAAATCAGCATCAATGATGGATGTTGGGAGCACACCGTGTATTGCTGTGTCACCCACCCCCCATGGCAGCCCCCTCACCTCTCTCTGTCTGTGAGTGTGTAAAGTAAAACACCGGGCTCCTGATTTCTAAATGCAGCACAATAAGTGTGAGCAGATAGAGGGTATGATGGAGCCCTGCTGCAAGGCCTCACGGAACTTGTAGTCCCGCAGTCGTCCCACTTCCGTTTCGTTCTATGTTCGATCACCGGAGCAAGTACTACAAGTCCCAGAATGCTCCGCGCGTTGCTCCCAGGGTCGGTGAGAGCAGGGTGTCAGGGTGTTGTTTGAATCAGGGATAATTACCCCGGTAACGGGTGGTGTATAGAGGGTGTAGGTTGGTGTGTTACCGTTACAGCTTGTCAGCTGCTGTTACAGGATGGCCTTTCCGGTGTCACCGGCCTGGCAGAATGTCAGTTATTAGGCTGTGTTTGCAGGGTTGCCATGGATGCTGCTGGATGCTGGAACGCTGGAGACGCCCGGGGGGAGGAGCTTCATTCATACTGTATCAGATCCCCCTCCTTCTCCTCCCTCTCCAGAGACCATCACTGCACAATGAGGATGGGAATTATACTGCTTATCCTCTATCAAGCCACTATTCATTAAACACATGCTGCATCCACTACAGACATACACACTACATACACTATACACACACACACTGTATCCACTACACACACAGACACTACATACACTATACACACACAAAAACACACTGCAATCCATACACACTGTATCCACTACACACACAGACATTACATACACTATACACACACAAAAACACACTGCAATCCATACACACACACACACACACACACACACACACTGTATCCACTACACACACAGACACTACATACACTATACACACACAAAAACACACTGCAATCCATACACACTGTATCCACTACACACACAGACACTACATACACTATACACACACAAAAACACACTGCAATCCATATACACTGTATCCACTACACACACAGACATTACATACACTATACACACACAAAAACACACTGCAATCCATACACACACACTGTATCCACTACACACACAGACACTACATACACTATACACACACAAAAACACACTGCAATCCATACACACTGTATCCACTACACACACAGACATTACATACACTATACACACACAAAAACACACTGCAATCCATACACACGCACTGTATCCACTACACACACAGACACTACATACACTATACACACACAAAAACACACTGCAATCCATACACACACATACACAGGTCTAGAGCTGTGTAAGGGTGCAAATATTTCTGATGACAGTCCTGCCAAAATTTATAATAGCAGCCTTGACGTGCTAGCAGAAATACTAGCACATGTATACATTTAAAATTTAAATCACTTTAAAAATATGTTCACTCCCCACATGTGCCCCACTGAGTGACAGTCAGTTCTCTTGCTCCCGGTCATTGTGTTACTGCCCTAGCAGGCTTTTCTCATGCTCGGGGACTATGGCATTTACTGATTGCAATATGCTCGGTAGAGTATTGCCCTACTTAGGAAAGCATCCTCAAGTAGGGACAATCACTCTTCACTCACACACAGCCAACCCCTCATACAATCACACTGAACCAACCAAAACAATCACACTCAGCCAAACCCAACATATAATCACACTGAACTAACTCCCGCACAATCATTCTCAGCCACAACGCACATTCTTCTCAGGTATATTGCTTAGGTGGTTCAAGCAGAGGCGACCCTGATAATTGCACCAGGGCACCATTGTTCTTAGTTATGCCCCTGGTAGGAAAGCTGAGCTGGTGGAACATATGAAAGACGTGAGGGCTTATTCATAGAGGCTATGCGAGTCACAGCCAGGAGAAGTGGGGCTATGACTGCATAAGCAGAAACAAATGTGTTCTAAATTGAGTATTGAGCAGTGAGACTACAGGGGCTTGATCTATACACCACACCTGCTTTATTAAAGGGACACTATAGGCTCATTGAATTTGTCTGGGTTACGGGTCCCTATTGTCATTAGTCATGCAATATAAAACATTGCCGTTTTAGAGAAATTGCAACATTTACATTGCAGCACTAAGACTGCCTCCAGTGGCTATCAACCACTAATGCTGGACATCCTCATGCTCTGTGTCCAGTGTCAATGAAAACCCCATAGGAAAGCTTTCGTACGGGTAGAGCGTAATGTGCTTGCTGCTCATGTGGATTAGTCCCCCGTCGGATAACGTCAGAGGAGGCAGAGCACCGACCACGCGCCCATGGATATTGGCATTGGGATTGGGAAAGTAAATAGAGTGTTTTTAATCCTTTATTGGAAGGGCCCTAGGGAGGGGGGAGATTGAGAGAACTATAGTGTTAGTAATACAGGTCTGTATAGTATCCCTTTAAGCTAAATTTGTTTTGGAGCTTAGAGTATCCCTTTAAACATGTGGTAAATTAAAATGTAGTTGTCATTTCTCTATAATTCTCATGTTACTGCAACAAACAAGATACAAGAGTGATCTCGTGTGTCTTGTTTGCTGAGCCTCCCTTAACCACTGTTGAGACGTGTGGATTCCCCTTTTAGCATTTTCACCTATATGATTCCCCCTAGCTAGATAATGTTGGCAGAGTTATGGCATGAAGTCATTCACCCAGTCGTGATAATAGGTGTTTCTAGCAAGGCAGTTGGAAACGTGGTAATATTGCCTGAAGCTTTTGCTACATTATTAGTGAAGATGAAAGCATTTGTGGTTTTAAAAAAAAAAGGGGGGGGGGGGAGAGTGATCAAAACAGGAACATTTTTCAGATGCATTAATCAAATGTTCCTTTTCACTTTTATCTCTATCAAAAAATATTATAACTGAAATATATCAAACTGCACCTCATTTTTAAATATATTCTGAATCCTTAGATCTTGAGATCTAAAGGTTTATAGTAGTGGAGAGAAATAAACGTGTTTCGTGTGTTGAAATGACCTGATCCGTCCCATGAAGTCTAACGCTTTGGTAAAGATTGTTTAAGGCAATGTATTTTTTTAATGAAATCTTTTATTTGCTGATGTTTGCTTTTTGTTTGTATCATCAAAAGTACAATATGCATTATTATAAAATATATTTAAAACACATTACTAGTCTGAGACTTTCAATATGTTATATATTTGTGGCTGCTTTAATCAATGTATTTATTACTGCAATTACCATGATACGTATTATACAGCTCTACAAAACGAGACCCATAAAATGCCAACATTTTTAAGGTAGAGGAATGAGGAAGTGTTGAGGCTCCCGGCCCACCGCATGGCGCAGCCGTGCCTGACCGGCACGACCTCGCCGATATTGCAAGCTTACCGGCGAGCCGGGAACCGCTCCTCCGTGTCTTCTGGGCGTTGCGTCCAAATCAAAGATGGCGCTGACCACGTGGTCGCGCACACCACAAGCTCCGCCCCTCAAATTTATACAGACGTGCGCGTGACGTCACAACGTCAACGCACACGCACGTTCTGGGGTCAGAGGTAACCCTCTGACCAATCAGAGCCCAGAGAGGGATATTTAAATCCCTAATTCACTCCAGTTCCTTGCCCTGTCGTGGTTTCCTGTTCCTGGTTCCCGAGAATGCGTTTATCTTTGTGAATATTACTTCCTGGTATCCTGATCTTGGCTTTTCCCTGGTTATTCCGAATTCTGGTTCCCCTGACTTGGCTTGTTTTTTGATTTTTTTTTTTTATGTCACATCTTGCTTATACTATGACAGGTTCAATTTAGTTTTAAATATTTTTTGTTTAGGTTTAAAAAGTAGCAATACAAACGCTCCGCTATATTTAAAAGAGGACTACATACAGTACATAAAAACATGGCATAAAAACAAGACAACAAAATAGTAAAATATAGAAGTGTAACATCATATTTATAATTTAATAATATCATTTATTATATTTTATAATGATATAACTTCTTAAGCTATAGTTTTCCAAGACAGCAGTTTTTTTCAGGTCTGATGGAGCCATACATAGCAGATAAACCTTTTTTGCAATTTTAAGGAATTATAAAGGTTCTATTGGAAGAAACAGAAGGAAAAGAGAGTACTGCATAGTAAAGTGGAAAGAAATAAGGAAGGAGGAGAAAGCATCGATGGAAAGGAAAAGAGAGGAAGAGGTGAAGTATGGGAAAGTGGTGGGAAACTGATATCTCTAACCGAGGAGCAAAGTAAACCACCCAATAGCAGGGGTAGACCCAATGGGCCCATGAAAGTCAAGCCCTTTCATCATGACCCTCAGATATATGTTGCAGGCAAGGATGTCAGATTATGTTATTTGGTGAGACGTTGTGTAGCCACATTGTAAACTTCTCTGTAGTTCTTATATAGTTGATTCTACTATGGAGTAGTTCCAAGGACGGGTTGTGGTTTTCCATTTATTAGCTGGGCGAAGCAGTGGAGATTCTATTTATGAGGTGTAAGGTATGCTTCCCCATCTTTCAATGGCTACCCAATGGAAGTGCACTTCCTCGTCACCTAGTACAAACTAAAAAAAGGGGGAGGAACATAACATGCTTGGAGGCCAATTCTTTCCTTGAGACTATGGACCCTCTGCTATTACTGAAACTGGACTCTGCAGATACCAGTAGCCTTTCCCACCCAGAGCCAGGGCTGCTTAGGCTCTGGGAAATGTGAGTGTGAACTCCCAATTTTTTTATAAGTGTGCACGACTAAAAATACTTTTTAAATCCGATTGTTTGCACTATATTTGTTTTGTACGTATCTTTTCAGGTGGTTTTATAAAAATATTTTTCTGGTGAGATATAAAAATTGACCATGTATATAAAATAATATTTTAGTGCAACACCATTTCTTGGTTTTGGATCTGCAGATACCATGGCTGTGATCCTAACAGACCCGAAGGGAATAAAGGGACAAATACTGTCTCAATTCGAGAGAGTCTAGATTCCATCAATGTAAGGGTGCTAAAATGTAAAGGTGTTTTCTTTTATGATGGTACACATCAAAGGCAGGTGACAGGATGTTTTACCATCATCCAGAACCCCAAGCAATAGCAATATGATCTCCATATAGGCACCCATTTTCCTAAAATGCAATTTATGAAGGTGGTCAAACTGCATTAGTCAATGGTCAAGTGGTGTCAGTAGTTTTGTCTCTAAATGACAGATAAAATATAAATAAAGAAGGTTAAGAACCATAACATTTTACCTCTTGCTATTAAGCACAGTGAAATTTTGGTTATACTTACAACTTATTATTGCTTCATTTAGGAATGTGATCATTTCATCTACAAAAGAATAAACCATGACGTAGAGGTAAAGAAATGACAGCTGATAACTGTAAATAAAATATGCCATTAATGACGCTGCCGTGAATTATGCCTCATCACTATTTTAGGTGGACCCTCATATACACTGTTCAGTGCATTCAAGATAATAGAACATTATCGTGAAGGAATTGAACAATGTATAACATGATCC